CCCTGAATAATGATTATGATTCTCTCTAGCATTCCCTTGAATTTTTTTTTTCTCATAACAGCCTTAGAAATTTGCTGCATGCTACTCTAGATATCGCTCTTCGAATTCACACTACTATTATCTTAGTATTCTAAATAATTCTCGTGAGAATTCCCTTTAATAAATCTCCACAATTCTGTTTAAAAGTTACTGCCAGTCACAGTGAACTCAACAGATGGCGATAGTGATTAATCGACGATGATTTAGAAATTATTAAGATGAGAAATGTGCAATGAGTTATGTCTGTTTGTCCGTGGTAACATCTTTGCTTGATTTCCTATTCAAATTGGACTGTTTTGCTACTCGGTTCGGGAAGGTTCGTCACTTATTACGTAAGTCTCCAGCCGCAGCATATTTACGTACTAGCGACTAGATAAACTACCTATGTTGTGCGTCTCCACCGAAGCTAGAAACAAACTATCAGGCGCACCAATTCATTCATTTTCAAATATTTACCGGAATCCCCTTAATAACGCAGTTGGTTGTGCAGTCCACCCACCGCTATTTGTCGGCTGTCCTCGAACCAATTGAACTGATTTTTTGTAGGTGAATTTTGTTATGTTCGAATGTTGGATATTTCTCACTTTACATTACCGCCATCTGTTGAGTATACTGTGAGGGGCAGTATGCTGAACAGATGGCGGTAGTGTGAAAACGTCAAATGCGTGGGAATTGACTATGCGTGCCACAGGTGGCGGTACTACCAACTAAGATACTTTTAAATTGCCCGTAAATGCTTGTTCGAGTGTGATGTCTGTTTGTCTGTGCTTTGATCTTTTGTGATATGTCCGTATACTTTTTTTAATGCATGTCGTAGTACCTCATAACTATGGAAAAGTATATCTAATGTTGGGCCTACTAAGCACAACCCGCGCTTTACCTCTATTTTTCAAGCGAATTTTTTTCACAAAATGGAATGTTTTCGCTGCAGGTGACTTCTAAATGTATTTACCTTTCCGTACGTATCGTAAGATTTGATGAAAAGTAACTAATTGTTGCAATAATGTTAAAAATCTAACCCTGCTTCTTGACTCCAAACTCCACCTAACGTATTAAAAAGCCATTTAATCGCCATTGAATTTACTTCGGCCTATCGGAAGACGATAGAAATTGATTCGTTCGGAGCGCTTCTTTTCTTTTTGAGAATATGTAATGGGTGCCAACATTCATATCACGCGGTTTTATTGACTTCGTTCGGTAGCTTTTAAACTAAAGAATCGTACCAAATGCATAATCGACTTGATAACGCCGAAATCATGGATTTATTTCATGTTTTCTGCTCGATCTCACGACGCCTGAGTGGAGCAAGGATGAATCCTAGGATGCCAGTGAAGGACGCGACTGGTCAGTTGCTCACCGACCCCACTGATCAGCTGAAACGCTGGTTTGAACACTTCGAACAGCTTCTACAAGTTTCGTCGGTCAACCAGCCATCAACATCTCGGCATGAACCGCCAAGAGTGCGACGCATCACTCGCGTCAATTCTGAGGCGCCATCCCTACCGGAGATCGAAGCTGCTATCCGAACCATGAAATCCAACAAGGCTCCCGGGGTCGATCGCATATCAGCAGAGATGCTCAAAGCTGACCCCATGCTATCTGCACAAATGTTGCATCAACTATTCTGCAATATCTGGGACACCGCGACTTTTCCGGCTGACTGGATGCAGGGCGTCTTAGTGAAGGTCCCAAAGAAGGGGGACCCAACTGTATGCGATAACTGGCGTGGCATTATGTTACTGTGTTGTGTTCTCAAAGTTCTATGCAAAGTTATCCTCAACCGGATACAGGAGAAGATCGACGCGACTCTCCGACGGCAGCAGGCGGGATTCCGTGCTGGAAGATCCTGTGTGGACCATATTGTCTCGCTCCGCATAATCTTGGAGCAGGTCAACGAATTCCAAGAGTCCCTTTACTTGGTTTTCATTGACTACGAAAAAGCTTTCGACCGACTCAACCACGAAAACCTGTGGGGCGCCCTAAGGCGCAAGGGAGTTCCGGATAAAATCGTCAACCTCATCGAAGCTCAGTATGAGGCTTTCACGTGCAGGGTGCTGCACAACGGAGCCCTATCTGACCCTATTCGGGTAGTCGCTGGAGTGAGGCAAGGATGTATTCTATCACCGCTACTGTTCCTCATCGTAATCGACGAGATAATGGTTGGTGCGATCGACCGTGTGCCGAACCGTGGGTTGCTCTGGCAGCCTATTACAATGGAGCATCTAAACGACCTAGATTTGGCGGATGACGTTGCTTTAGTATCACAACGGCGTTCTGACATGCAGAGTAAGCTCGACGATCTCGCCGAACGCTCCTCAGCGGCAGGTCTCAACATCAACGTCAGCAAGACTAAATCGTTGGATATCAACACGGGAAATCCATCCAATTTTACGGTAGCTGGTCAGGAAGTGGAGAAGGTTGAAAGTTTCCAATATCTTGGCAGCCAGATAGCGTCGGACGGCGGAACCAAGAGTGACATAGGTGCACGGATCAAGAAGGCAAGGGCTGCTTTTGCGAGTTTACGAAACATCTGGAAGTCAAATCAGATTAGTCTCCGCACGAAGATCCGAATTTTCAACTCTAACGTGAAATCTGTACTGCTGTACGCTAGCGAAACATGGTGCGTATCAGCGGAGATCACACAGAAGCTGCAGGTGTTCATCAACCGATGCCTGCGGTATATAATTCGTGCTTGGTGGCCTCACAACTGGATTTCGAATGCCGAGCTCCATCGACGGTGTCACCAGAAGCCGATATCGACAGAAATTCGGGAACGTAAGTGGAGGTGGGTTGGCCACACTCTACGGAAGAGCGGAAATGAAATCTGCAAACAAGCGCTGGATTGGAATCCAGCCGGACATCGCAGCAGAGGCAGACCCAGGGGCTCATGGCGGCGAAGCCTAAACAAGGAGATTAAGCAAGTCGACCGGAATTTGACCTGGGCCCAGGTCAAGGCGAAAGCAAACAATCGCCCAGGATGGAGATCTTTCACGTTGGCCCTTTGCGCCAGGGATGGCGCTCAGGACACTTAAGTAAGTAAGTAAGTTTCTGCTCGATAGGCCCAAAACGGGCGCTTAGGCCGAAGTAGTTCTCTACCCTATTCGTTTTTGATACACTCAAAAAATTCCACACGTCATCATCATGTGTCTCACACTTAATTTTGCGCTTATTGTGAAAACACATCCATTTCATGTGTGAATCTTATGCTATGAACCATGCCTGAACACTATGGATTTGAATTGTGACACACTTGGATTCTATGTGTCTCATATGGTGATATCAATAGCTTTGCACACCATAGTTCAATATTCTACAATATTCTACTTTATCGACTTCTACTTTACCGACTCTAAAAATTGAAACGACAAATATATAATCAAAACTGCCAGAGGCCAGATCTTTCCCATCTGATTTGGGATTCGATCATGGACTATTGGGGTGTGCTACTGCCGGAGTCTTCGTTCTATCTCACTGTGCCAGGGTTCTTCTCATATATGAGGCGGGTTAATCACAACTCTTGTTTTCGATGTTTACCTTCCTGAGCAAGCAATTCACATCGTATTGAAATGCAAAACACTTTAAATCCATCTGTTTTGAACAGTAGCGTGATTCAATGTGCAATACACTTGAATAGAAAGTGAAAATTTTTCAACATTTCAAAGTTTGAAACACTCTAAATTAACGTATATAACACATCGAACCAAGGTGAAATACACTTAAAGTAAATGTGATTCTGCATTTAAAAAATCAAGTGTTTAAGCACTTCGATCAAACGTGTGAAATGTTTTGAGTGTACAGTTAAATCATACAAGAATCCTCATTCAATTGTTAACCTTGAAATCTTTCTGGATCTTCGTAAATGAGCAACGCACACGCTAAGATGCACATACCTAAAAGTCGGTAAAGAATACCTAGATATCGGTAAAAATTACCGTTAATCGAAGAAAGTGCACATACCTAAATTATCGGTAATCATGGATTACCTATAATTAACGTTAAAAATAACCTAATTTATGGTAAAAAATATCCTATTTAAAGTAAAAAGTAACGATTTTTATCGGTAAAAAATACCGATAAATTTTTACCTATAACTTTAGGTAATCGTAGCTTAGAGTGCAGGGAAGTCGGCTTAAAGACGCACCCTCTCATCGCTCTCATCAATGAAAATAGGTCTCACATAAATTCTCATTCAATTGTGTTGTTTCGCATCATTTCAGGCATAACATTTGATAACGACACAAAAGCATTTGTAAACAAACTTTATAAGGCCCTTCACACGCGAACCAAAGTACGCCCATGCAAACCAAAAACGGATCGGATAGGGGCAACTATCACCTTTCCGAAAGTGGTATTGGTTTGCGTGGGCGTACTTTGGTTCGCGTGTGAAAGGCCTTAGAAAGTTTGTTTACAAATGCTTTTGTGCCGTTATCAAATGTTATGCCTGATTTGAAACATTCGGGGACCTCTCCCAATACGCGCCTTCCACCATACAAAATAGGTCTTAGCAACAATAACAAGCAATGATACTGATATTCAACCATGCAGCAGAACCCTGGCCCGAACCTTTTCTTGTTTCCAATCTCAAAACCGAGGCTCATAACCGTCAACAGGAAGAGCTTAGAGCCAGAGTTCGATGTGGTAGATCTTATACCAGTAATGCACCACGGTGATCTACCAGCGTAACTGGTAAGGTAGGTGAGTATATTGTTAAAACTAATCACAGACAATTGCTCAATTGGTTGAAGAACAGCCGAAAAATAGCGATAGGTACACGGTATCACCCACCGCGCTATTCAGGGGATTCCTATACATTTTCGCTCGCATTTTCGCTTCCTGTAGCATACCTATATTGCTAAAATTTAATGCATGGTTTGAATTCCTATTGGAACAACCTATATGAAAAAAAGAGTGGGATATTGTTGTTTGTTTACACTGAGCCTTCTTCTTTATTTACGTTTCAGTTACGAAGGAACATCTTCTGGAGCTAGAATCACTATTCGGCCGTGCCTTGCTCAGTCGAGTGCTAACCTTAATACACGGTAAGAAGCCCATCAAATTGTACCGCACTCCAAACGGTGCCGGCCGACTGTACGAAGTGCCCGGTTCCAAGCTCACCGTAGTGTACAAAGTATTTCTTGGTATCAATTTCTGTACGTGTGAGTCGTTTCGTTACTGGGTCCTGCAGCAGCGCCACCAAGCTACCTGTAAGCACGTCCTAGCGACGAAGCTAGCTCAACCACTCGATCTGGTAGTTGAGGAAACACTGTCGGAGAAAATTTACCTGGAAGTATCGGCCGACCTGATCAAGGAACGTATCAACAACACCAGCCCTAGTCGTCCACCAAACCCTGCCGGTGAAGGACCATCCAAGTAAGGTCGGTGGCCCAGTTAGATGCTCAATACCAAACCTCTGTTCGCGAAAGGTGTCGTACTGAATCGGAAGATGCTGACCCAGTCGCAATTCTCGCAGATTCAGTTCTCTGCGGTGTTGAACAACTATACCATGTTCTACAACGTGGCCAAGGCAGTCAACTTTGTCGATGTAAGTTGGGAACTGAGTGTTATTTTATATGTATAAGCTTTAATTTCTATTTTCCAGAATGCCACGGTTCAACTCAGCACCGATGGTGTGAAGTTGGTCGTCGAGGATTCGAAAAGCGTTCAAGCTACGGCCTACATTACGAAAGCCTGCTTCTCGGAGTACAAAATAGCCCAACCGAAGCGCAAGCTGGGCGTTAACGAGGAAGCTGACGATAATGAAGTGTTGACCTCGTTCGGGCTCAACTTGAAGGTCTTTACCGATTGTCTGAGTATGTTCATGGACGGAGATTACGATTCCAGTATGAAAATGCTTCACAAAGGGGAAGGTGCCCCGTTGGTTGTGATCCTGGATCGGCGCTGTGAAGATAATTTAATAACGGAGTGTTCGGTCAAAACGATGGAAGCGCTGGAGATTTTAGATTTCGATTCCGAAGAGGAAAAGGTTTGCAGTAAAGTAAGCATTAAGGGTCAAGACTTTTTCGCTTTACTGTCCGAGATGGATAGGAATAGCAGGGAGATTGAAGTGTTCCTATCACCGGACAGCCCCCACTTCAAGTTCTCCACATATGATGAGCTAGGCTCCGAGTCGAGTTTCGAAATCACCAACAGTAGCGACATGTTGATCTCGTTTCACAGTACGGAAACAACCAGCCATCGATATCAGTTCGCCCATTTTAAGCTGGTCATGAAAACTCTTGCACTGGCTTCAAAAATAGCCCTCCGAACCAACAAGGAAGGCCTGCTGGGACTACAGGTGATGATTGAAAATTCCGACAATTCAAACATTTTTGTCGAGTACTTCGTTGTGCCGCTATGTGACGGAGACGCCGACGACAGTGTTGTCTCTTGCGATTGAATTAAATGTTGCCTCATTTGATAATTTTATTTCAACAGTTTTTTTTTAATCCGAACGGAACGTTGTCATTAAGTGTAATTGAAACATCTGTAACTATTCTCCAAAGATTATGTAGGACGATTTTATTACATTTTATCATACACATCTCGAATAAATCTAGGTATAAAACGCAGGTCAAACGGAAAGCATTCAACTAATTGAAATTCTCCGACTATCTTCTGCCACGATAGTCATTCCTTCTTTGATTGCCACCTCCATCGTTTTTGCCGCGACTATTTCCTCTATCTCTGGAATACATCTGGCCCTCGTTTCGGTCTCTCGAATGGTTATCACCGCGGTCCCTGTCGCCTCTGTCCCTATCCCTCGAATATGGCTTCTGTTGATGCTGCTGCTGCTGCTGTTGTTGACGATCATTGCGATTCATCTTATTCTGCAAGGCATTTTGCTGCATGTGCCCCTGGCCCATACCAGCCAAAGCTTGTTGGCTCAGTTGGCTAATCATTCCCTGCATCATCTGGTTCATCGCCCCTGGACTCATGCCTGCGAATGAAAGCTGTCCAATGTTAGGCATGTTTCCCTCATTACCCTGATGCTGCTGCTGCTGTTGACCACGATTCTGCTGAGGACTGTTATTGTTAACCTTCGGTGAACCTGAATTCGGACCGTTTCGGCTCTTTTTATGTATCGTCAGCTGCCGATTGAACAGCCTTGTTCCGTCGTAGATTTTGATGGCATAATTGACCGAAACAGCGTGGGTGTATGTTATGAATGCGTACGATCGTTGCCGTTTATCAGTGTCCCGGGGAATCTTCACCATCTCCACCGGCCCTGCCTGATATTTTTTGTTTAAAAGATAAGTATTTACGACTCAATCAATCAACACCAGCAGAGAACTTATTTACCTGCAAGAACAATTCGTACAGCAGTTCTTCCGTTACTTTTTCCGCAAGATTTCCGCACCACAAGGTACGTTCATCTTCCTCGCTCATTTTGGTTGTTTAACAGTTGTTTCACTGAATAATTTGTTGACAATGATTTAATAACAGGAATAATAGTAAACCACTAAAGTACTTTTAGTCTCTTTTGTTAAAGCGCAAACCACGAAATTGATGCAATTAATTTCGCGAAGTTTCGTTTGTTTTGTTTGGGTGTAGTTTGACAGTTGGTAAAACGCGATGCGATGTTTTTCACGCTATTTCAAAACTACCCTAATTTGAGTTAAATGTACAGTGTGCACGGTGTTTCACGAAAACCCATTTATGGGTATAAAAATACCCATTTCCGCTACGGGCTGACACCAACAATCAATAGGAAACTAACGATTTTAAATTGGCTCACCACTTTAGTAGCCTATTGGTCCCAAGCAAACGATTAACGTACCCTATTCTAGTTGAAATTCTATTACTACGCTATGTTTGTTTTGATTCGCTATGAAAGTTTGACAGATAAAATGAGGGGTTAGTGGATTTTTCTATGTTTCGAGGGGTGAATCGATTAGCTTGGGACCGAAGAGAGTACCAGAGCTGGGCCAAAAAGTTGAGCACGTTATTTCGGGAACTTCTAGTCTTAGAGTTACCTCTATGGTTTTACCACAAACGAAGTGACAGACGACTGTTTTCAATTTATTTTTTTAATCTTACCGGACTAAAATAAAACAAAACAAAACAAATTGCTTCAACTTTTACTAAACACTCTAATACCACAAACGAAGTGACAGACGACTAACTGGCGAAGAAATCCATTTAAATAATGTGGTTCACTGTAATAGAATTTTCTTGGAAGCTTGTGCCATCATCCACCAGATGGGTTAGTTTTTTTGTTTTGATTTGAACAAAGTTGATTTTGTGTACAATGATTCTTTGACAGTGTGCAAAGAGTGCGTATCATTTTGTCATTTTTTATGCATTTCAGTTTTGAGTAGAGTGAAAGAGATAGAACCAAAACATTCTAGTACATTTGGTGAAAATGCTAGTTCAATCTAGTAGTAGCAACAATCAATACGAAACTAACGATTTTAAATTGGCTCACCACTTTAGTAGCCTATTGGTCCCAAGCAAACGATTAACGTACCCTATTCTAGTTGAAATTCTATTACTACGCTATGTTTGTTTTGATTCGCTATGAAAGTTTGACAGATAACATCAGGGGTGTGTGGATTCATGCAGAACATGCAGGGGTGAGTGAAATAGCTTGGGACTGCTTGGGACCGTTGTTCTGGTACTGAGTGAGCCAAAAATAATAATGATTTTCTTCGGGACCCAGTGGTCTTAGAGTTACCTCTATGGTAGTAGTGTTGCCATGTGGTACAATCCAGTAGTAGTAAAATTGCAATAGCAGGTTAGTCACCAAAGTTTTCGAGCCGCTCCGTCAGTCACTTCGTTTGTGCTAATATCACAAACAAAGTGACAGACGACTAACTGGTGAAGAAATCCATTAAAATAATGTGGTTCACTGTAACAGAATTTTCTTGGAAGCTTGTGCCACAAACGAAGTGACAGACGACTAACTGGCGAAGAAATCCATTAAAAAAATGTGGTTCACTGTGATAGAATTTTCGAGGGGCATGCAATAACCTTTAACTCCTACGCAAGCCTTTTTTAAGTACAATAATTACAGTTAACTACATGATTAATTACTTTAATTACGAGCGTCAGAATTTTTTTGATTTAATTACTTTTAAGTACAAATTTTAGCTTTAATTACAAGTCGCATAAATTAAGTACATTAACTCCATTAATGTACAGCGAGAAATGTACTTAAATTACCCCCAGCGTACCGTTAGACCCTTTCGTTATTGGCCCGTGAAACAAAAATTTCACAGGCCCTTTTGCTACGTTAAGGATAATGTCAGCTCTGATAGATTGTATCGCTACCGCTATTATGACTTTAGCATAGACCCTATAAACATACATCTCCCGGGACATACGAGGAAATCTACGTTGATGATTGGTGGCGATTCACAAGCAACGATCGGTTCGTGATTGAAAATGTAGTCGGATTTCAATACTACCGAGGTGTTGGCAGGGCAAAAACCTATACCCTGGATCACGCCTCTGTCAAAGCACCGGAGAATGCGACAGTAAAAGGAATGTTTGTTTGTGCTAACCTAAGAAATAACGAATTTAATTTGGTGGATTTGAACGAAAACAGAATTACAATAGAAAATTATGTTAAGCACGTTTTGCCTCTTTGTATTTAACCCCAAAATGTATGGTTAAGGGGAAGTTTACCACCCCGAATATATAGTTTTTTCGAAACGGTTTTCGTGGCAAAAATTATCAATAATTCGATTAGTTTTTTTCTTAGATTGTTAACAAAATTTACATGTAAAAATATTATTTATTTCTCCACGCATACGAATTTTGTTCATTCAAATTAAAAATAAATCTGTTTATACTCTAAACGTATGAATGATTCAACGTAAATTGAAAACATGTTTATTACTAAAATATGTATTTTGAATTAAATTCAAAAGCATGTTTTTTCAGCAATATAGAAATCAATTGTATTTGAAAGCATCACTCACCGATGTGTCTGTATTTGACTGGCGATGATCGATTTCTGTCCCTAATAAAAATTGTATGGTTAATTTGCTTAACGACGTGTTCTGGGTATCATCCAAACCATTTGTGGAATAATTCAATGATTTGGGTTATCGTTCGTTTATGGTTATTTTTTATTAGGGGTACTTGGTACCTGATCAAGCGGGAACGGTGACAAAGGCGCAGAAGGCGGTAGTTCTTTCACTGGTCATTTCGCAGGATCAGAAGTTTTTTTTTGAGGCCGATAAGGGGCTGTTTATAAACTACGTAGACATTTTTTTTTTGGATTATTGACCCCCCCATCCCCTGCGTAGCCAATTGTCCATACAAATTTTTTAAAATTTGTATGGGCCGTGCATAATTGTCAACCCAACCCCCCTCCCCCCCTCCTAACATGTCTACGTAGTTTATGAACAGCCCCTAAGAGAAAGAGCTGAACGGACACTGGAGCTGGTAATACTTTGGACGTGTGAATGTGCGCTACTTCCGGGAAAAAAATCGCAGCTAGTATGCAATTGCCTTCCCAGCACTTGAGTGTGTCAAGTTGATCGGTAACGATCATTTCGTGTCCTGTGCACATGGGACTCATCGTTTCCTATCGTTTTGGAGTTCTGCCCATAGTATTGTTTAGTTGACCCATGGAAAGACGAATAATGGGGAGGCGAATTTCATAAGTGCTATCGCGTCAATTCTGAATACGGATGTGATCATATGATTGCGATAATACAAATAAAAGCACACAATTGGTTTAAATAATCTTAGTGTCTGCAACCAAAACCTTATTATTATTAGTATAATAACATTAAGTTTGAAAGAAATATTGAAATAATCGAAGAATTCACGCATAACATCAGAAAATTAATGCAAATGCAAATACATCTTCCATTGAACCTGTTAATTCAGGCACAAGCTAATATCATCATCTGTCGAACTGTGCTGCGAGTATGGCTTAAAATTCGAACATTTTTTGATCGGGAGGAAATTTGCTCGAGGAATTGCTTGAATTTAAGGAAATGTAAAATTTGAAGACTTGTCGTCACAACTAAGTGATTACCATTTCATTTTTACGGCAATCACGGCCCTCATTATGAGTATCACTTCCTTTTCACTGTATATGTATTGTCGCTAGAGTTGTAAACCGATATAACCCACTCGTGACAATCGATTTTATTCTAGTTCTGCATTAAAGCGCATTATTCAACGAATACAGTGCACTAGATACGACATTATGTTGAACGTACAAAACGAGAGTGAAATCGATTGTCGCGAGTGGAATATTTCAGTTTCCAACTCTAGCACGAGCTCTAGCATGGTGCTTCAAGAAATGTATTATAAGTATACGCAGAATTGGTCATGTTTGTAGTCTAGTAAAACATTAATGGGCGTATTTCGGGGTGTAAGAAGAGTTTTTGAATAAATTGATTCATTCGAGTATGTGTCAAGGGTTTTCTTCAATTTTTTTTAATAGTTTAAGAATAAGGGTTTGGGTACGTTTTTAATTACATTTGTGTAAATTTAATTACATTAATTACAGAAAATAAATTTTTAATTACATTAATTACGTAATCAAATTGAAGTACGTGTTTTAATTACAGTAATTACACTGGCACTGCTTTCATTACGCGAAATTAAATTTAATTACATGAAATACTTAATTTTCATTTTTAATTACTTAATTACATAGTTGAACACCTTGTACTTTAAATCCAACGCAGTCAAAAAGGCTATTGCGTGCCCCTCGAGAATTTTCTTTTAGGCTTGTGCCATTATCCATCAGCTGGGTTAGTTTTTTTTGTTTTGATTTGAACAAAGTTGATTTTGTGTACAATGATTATTTGACAGTGTGCAAAGAGTGTATCATTTTGTCATTTTTTTATGCATTTCAGTTTTGAGTAGAGTGAAAGAGATAGAACCAAAACATTCTAATACATTTGGTGAAAATGCTAGTACAATCCAGTAGTAGCATAGAGGTAACTCTAAAGGTCGGCGCACAATAGATACGTTTTCGGGTTTTTTGACAGTTAGCCCATGCATTATCTGTCAAAAAACCCGAAAACGTATCTATTGTGCGCCGGCCTTAAGACCACTGGGTCCGAAGAAAATCAATTATTTTTGGCTCACTCAGTACCAGAACAACGGTCCCAAGCAGTCCCAAGCTATTTCACTCACCCCTGCATGTTCTGCATGAATCCACACACCCCTGATGTTATCTGTCAAACTTTCATAGCGAATCAAAAGAAACATAGTGTAGTAATAGAATTTCAACTTCAATAGGGTACGTTAATCGTTTGCTTGGGACCAATAGGCTACTAAAGTGGTGAGCCAATTTAAAATCGTTAGTTTCGTATTGATTGTTGGTAGTAGCATAGAGGTAACTCTAAGACCACTGGGTCCCGAAGAAAATCATTATTATTTTTGGCTCACTCAGTACCAGAACAACGGTCCCAAGCAGTCCCAAGCTATTTCACTCACCCCTGCATTATCCCCTGATGTTATCTGTCAAACTTTCATAGCGAATCAAAACAAACATAGTGTAGTAATAGAATTTCAACTAGAATAGGGTACGTTAATCGTTTGCTTGGGACCAATAGGCTACTAAAGTGGTGAGCCAATTTAAAATCGTTAGTTTCGTATTGATTGTTGGTATTAGTGAGAAGTTTCACTAATACATGCATTTTACTGGTTGAAAATAAAAAACAAACAGCTGTCAAGTCGAACACTTTGACAGCTGATTTCGTGGTTGAAAATAATAAACAAATCGATTTTACACGGCTACGCTCGCTACACTGCAACTGCCATGTACCCATTAATGGGTAAAAAAGGACCCATTTTTGATGACTATATGAGGCTGTCAAATAATGGGTGAAGTTCAATTTCAAATAATGGGTACTCTTTTACCCATTTCTCAGAGCGCTTCGGGCGAGAATAATGAGTACTTTTTTACTCATTAATGGGTGAAAAGCAACTTAGATAACATCTTCCAGTCCTCGCTTCAGTCGCAAAGTGTCTTAACGATGTCGAATGGAAATTGCTCGTTTGAAAAGTAGGTATTTCTTATTTTATTTCTTTCTGCCCACATCTAAACATCAATCTGAAACTTGCAGGGACAGAACTAGCCGGATCAGCAAGGAGATCCCAGGAGAGCTTTGGGAGCACCATTTCTTGCACGAACGATGGAAAGACCACTGGATGGAAAATGGTGAAATAAAGATATAAATATAAATAACGTTTTGTATTCTTAACTATTCATTGTGGCTCTTTCAATGATCCATAAATCATACAAATTCTAAAAGAAAAATCCTGGTTTAAGGATTTCAAAATTGGGTACTTTGTACCCATTTTATAAAGCCAATTATTATTTAAAAATGGGTAAAAAAGTACCCCATGATTTGACGTACAAGATCTTTACCCATTAATGGGTAAAGACGTTTTACCCATTAAATGAGTTTACCTACTTTACTTCGAAATGGGCACTTTTTCACCCATTAATGGGTACTTTCCAGTTACAGTGTAGGTTGGATTAGTGAGATCTTGCGTCGAGAAGTCAATAAGGGGATTTTCTATCCGTGTAGGTAAATGGGTAAACTGATTTTACCTATAAAATTGGTATGTGCACTTTTTCGTGATTATGGGTATTCTTCACCCATATTTCGGTGAACTGAACTAAGCGTGTATGTGAGTCGCAGCTCGCAGACCGTTGCGTTGCGTAAAAGTCGTTTGTAAAATTGGCCAGAAAAATATTCCTTTGCGAATTCTCCTACTTTTCCTGGAAATTTTGCAAAATGGACTCAAAGGAGAAAGATTTGATGAATTTCTTATTGGTAAGTGCACTGGAATTGAGAATGTAACGGGAAAGAAATAAAACTTTATTGCCGTAATTCACAGGAGCAATCCCAGAGGGATATTTCATATGAAAAACATCTGGAACGGCAGAAGATACTGCTGCTTGCCCAAAAGGAAGTGGAACATTGGAAGCGACTAGTTTACGGTAAGTGAGTTTTTTTTTTTTTTAATTGAGATATCGTAATGACCAAAGATAGAAATTTATCAAATAGCAACATCATTGGCGTTGGAAGAGGGGGCTACTTTCCTTTAGCCATGTTACAACACTGATACAAAATTCATGCTGTTTCTTGCACAATTATTGCGCAAAGTATGTAGAGCCGTCACAAGAAAAAAAAAGTTGAATGTTACATCGAAATAGCTCCACATAGGTCACTTTTGACAACTTGCGGAAGGTGTATCTCATGCTGTATGCTTGTATGTGAGTTCAAGAATTTGACCAGTAGTGCAAGTATCACATATTGAGACCTTTTATTTCTTTGTCATGTCGTAGTAGTGGTAGGAAGAACATAATGAACATCCTGTAGGCTTTAGCCTTGAATTTCTAATTATTCAAACCAAATTAATTGGTAGTAGATTCAATATCATATTTATATTGAAATACTATCAATTACAGATTACAGTGTTATAAGATGTTACAAGTTACAAGGGTGTTATAGTAATTACCATAAACGAACGGTAACCCGGATAGTACAACTATTCTACAAATGGTTTGGATGGTATCTCGAACACGTAGTTGAGCTCTTTCTTATGGTTATTTTCATTAGGGATAGCATTAATCGTTAGCTAAGCAGAACAGGTACAGCAACATTGTTATAAGTCTATCTTGATTCTTGATGGTATTTTCCTTGTCGATAATTACATGGCTGGTTGCGAGTCATTTTGTTCAAGTCAGTCACTAAAGTTACTTTTTCTTTTTTGCTTTATTAGAGAGATTTTCAGCCTTGGGCTGGTTCATCTCTTAAAAACGAGGGGTGGGGACTTAGGACGGGAGTCCCCCTAATTACAGAGCTATTAGGAAGAGGAGGTGAGGTTCCAGAAGAGAACCCCGAGAATCGAAGTTTTTTTTTTTTTTTTTTAAATTCTTTATTTAAGAGATTTTTAGCTTTAGGCTAGTTCATCTCTAGGAGAATCGAAGTTAGAGATGGGATGGGTGGTAGTTCCGGAAGGGAGTCCCCATAATAACAGAGTTTTAATATTTCACAGTTATGATTTTTCCTTTAACACTCCGAACACGATGCCTACGGTAAAATGTGTAACGACAAAGTTGTCATGTTTGAAAAATCATAGCTCAGCTATTTATTGATCAATTTTAAATCTATTTTCGCCATTTGAAACTACAGACATTTAAAGATTTATTTGGTATCAATAGATTTAAATGTGTTGATAAATTGCTGATCAATAATATTTCAAACATTGCCAATTTACCGTTACACATTTTACCGGAGGCATCGTGTTCGGAGTGTTAATGCTACCGATGTTACTGTCCTTTTGAATAATCGTGGTCCTGTGGTCAAGTTCCGTTTCCTGTTCCTTTGTAGTCGCTGTGTTTGAATTTAGTTGCCGTCATTCGTCCATTTCCGTGTCCTTGTACGTGGTTTGTTTGGTTCGATATCTTCGTTCATCCGTGTCCGAGTCAGTATTTGTCAGTCCATATATTGGTCCGAATCATTGTCCGTTGTCGTTGCTTGGGTGTTCATAGATCAAATTTGGTTAATGAGACCTGCCTCCTGAAGGAAGCAGAAAAGCGCAGCGATGCTGGATGGGTCATCCGTCAGCGTATCCCTGATGCTACCTGAGATCACGTATAGGGAACGGGGCCCGTAGTACTGGAGATATTCGCATAAGAAATGGTCCACTGTAATACTTCTTCTTGTAATCAGTCACTATTTTCCACTTTTTTAGCGTGAAATTATTTCAAGATTGATCATTCTTCTTGCAGTATGTAGGATCTGAAAGTCCAATTTGATGATGAATTAGCCCAGAAGTGGCTAAAAATCACACTAATAAAGTATTTAAAAAAAAGATAGTCCAATCGATGCCTACATTTTGTTCTAATTTTCGAACAATTCGAATATGCTGTACTTCTATAGAGCTTTTTGACGATTCATCGTCTTTCTCTATCTACAGGGTGTCTACTCATTTGGCTAAATAAAATTCCCTGACTTTTCCAGTTTTCTTCAGAACTAATTACCAAGTTTATAATGTTTTAAAAATATGCTTTTTGTTTGGTAAAACAACAACAATTAACGCATAAGTTTTCAAGGCATGACAATCAGTTTTGAAGAAACAGCTTTACAATCAAATGTATTAAATATTAAAGTTTAACACTTAATTTTAGTAAGTCTAAAAAATCAATCAAGTTCGGTAAAATCTCCAACAGCCGATTACCTCGGCGTTTACTTTTGCAGATATCTCTGCAAAATGTATGCTGATATTTCAGCAAAAATCTATTTTTTATGCTGAGTCTCGGCAATTATTTTACAATTTTTTTCTCGGCAAAACAATTGTGTTATATCTAAAAAAATCAATGTCGTGAAGTTTCGTATTCCATGTACAAGTTCAAGATATTGAAAATTTTCGATAAAAAAAAGGTTTGTTTTAAGTTAGTACTTATACCTTTTAGATAAATCAATGTGAAGTTTATCTAAGCTGCCTTGGCATTTAAATGTTTCTCATTGTATCAATCACCTCTTCTATTCCAGAAACAGAACGATTCCGCGAGCAATGCCTCTGGGAAGACCGTCACGAGCTGAAGCAAGTGTTTAAGCTGAGAAATCGGGTTTACAAACTCAATAAGCCGAGACTTAAAATTGTGATTGACCAAGGACTTGAACAATGGATCAAAGATGATGATGGGGCAGAGAATGATTATCAATCAGAAATCAACAAACTTCGATCGAGGATTGATCACATGAACCTGCAAGCAACGCGTTACTGGGAGGTTTTCGAAAATGTTCGAGAATCGAAAAGTCACCAGATAGTTCAGGAGTCCGCTCGTAAGGTACGAGAAGAGGAGGTGAAGATTGAAGAGTCTCAGAAGACAATCGACGACCTGTGGAAGAAAAGTCACGAACAAGCCAACAAAGAGTGGAGTGAAATGAAACTGATGATTGTAGAGTTTAGTCAATTATGCACAGAAAGCAATATGATGGACTTGGAAAAGGAAGCTGACTTACAGAATAATCAGATTAAAAAAGTCAAAATCATTCAGCTCCACGAGGAAATCAAACAGGTCAAGATTGAGCAGGAAGAAGAAGCAAAGCGTCGCGAAATTGAGCTTAGTGAACGTATACTGATTCCGATAAAGATTACTCCTATGACCATTGAGAATACTATGTTCAAGAATCCCAACGATTTTCCAGCCCTCATTGATAAGATCGATAGTACTCGCAAGTCCTACGAGCAGATCTTCAAGCGCCAGTTGAGAAAAACGAACAAGAAAGGTCGGTCGAAATGTACCGTCCATTTTAATATGCTGTTCGGTGGTCCGAAGCGTAAGGGTAAAACTCGAAAAACTCAACTTCACCCCTCGGTAACAGCGGAGACTGCAACGAAACCGGTAACCACCGATGATGTTGCGACACATCCGAAGAAGTATCAGCGTACAGAAGTATCAGTTGCGAAAGAATTACCATCGAATCCTCCAGACACAAAGCTAGACAAGCCTAGCGTTCAGGTCGAGCGTCACACTACTAAGTGTGCGTCTCAGTCAGATAAAGATCTGTCTAAATCGCAACCATTACCGTCTACCAACGAAAACATTCCAACGAAGGATCCTCCTGTGGCCAATAAGCGGAAAGCGTCTGACGAATCTACTGAGGATCAGCACAGGCCAATATGCAACGTCCAAGGCCAGCGAATCAAGCAACGACCAGCTCAGTCTGTGTCGCAACCGGAACTTCCAACTGTAACTCGTGACAATGCCAAATCGGAACCACCGAGAAAGCGTCCCTCCCTAGAAACGCCGATATCAGCCTCGACTCCCTCTCATGTGCAAGACCACCGTGAGTTCAAGAAACCTCAACTAATGCAGGAGTATTCTCCCGAAAAGCAAAGCCGCAAATCAAAGCCGAAAAAGGTCGCATTCAAGCCGCAACCGGAGGCATTTGAAATCGAATGCGATAGCTTTTCATTGTCTCCAGAAAAATCGGTTCGCAAAATGCAACCAAGATCCAAGCAGCAACCCGTCGAACAGGCGCAACATCGTTCACCCTCTCCACCACCACAGCAAATGAAACAACAACCGCCGGCAGACCCGATGGATTTTAAGTCGCAAGAACAACAGCAAACCGTTGAAGACGACAACTTTTCGTTCGGCAGTGCTTCCCCTTCGTTGGATTCTCACCAGTCCAAAGATGACGGCGGATCCTTCTTCGATACGGGCAGCATCTCGTCGTTAAATATGGTGGATCGTGAGAATAGCAGCGATCTAGGGTTCGATTTGTCCCCCGTCGGACCAAGTACGAACAATCGACGAGATGAGCACGGAGAAGGAAGTGGAAGCGACGGAAATACGTCGGATTTCAATTTTCTTGCAAGTCCACCAACATCGGCTGCCCCGCCTGGATCACAGAGTGGCGGTAGGAAAGATCAGGACTGTTTCGCATTTACAGATAAAGATAGTGGAACGGGATTTGATTTCTTTTAGAATATTCGCTGAACTGGAACGATCTCTGTTGATTATGCTGGAAATAATTGGTTTTGAGATTGAAATTGACCATTTCGTTATTTCCGGGTACCTTTACTGATTTTGTCATTGAACTAGTTCTTAGTTTAAGCATCCCACTCATTCACCTATTGCAGTCGCCACTTGTTATTCACTAAAGAGAAGAAGAGTTATCTATATTTTTGTGGCAAGAGCATACAAAGAAACACATACTGTTAAATTAAATTCGATCCCAACATCGATTTGAAGTTTTATTCTTTCGGTCTGTGCCGTTCTTTTTGTTCAAAATTCAGATTGAACCAACAAATCAAATAATACCTAATACTAGTTGAAGTTAGTACCTATATCTTACCATCGCGAAATCTTTTGCTGCAGTTTATTCAGATGCTGTAACTGGCGAGATGCGATGCTTCCTTCTACACCATTCCCTTTCATTCCACTTGGGCGAGCTTCAGGCACAAATGTTGCATAATCTCTAACGCATGCTACATTGGCTTCTACAAGTAGCTTACAGGTTTGCAAGTTGGAATAGGAAGTTTCACCCGCAGCAGCAATCACAGGCTCTACACGATTCACCATCTTCTTGACGAATGCAACCAGCAGTTGAAAAATGCCTCCAACTGGATCCGCCGTATCTGAGCTTTTTGAGTCCACTAAGAAGAACATTGCACAGCAGAGATACTGAAAATTGAAAGCTGCTATTAGAGATAAAATAATGCTAAATTATGCTCAATTTACCTGATAGTGAATTGCGTGAAAATTCTCAAACTTTTCTATTTCGGAAATCAGCAATCTTAGTAGCTTCCTGGTCCACCGATGAAAGCGACCTCTATTTGGGACTATTATATCCTTCCACCAATCAGCTGACCTGAGATCGATTTTACCTGTACCTTTCATCACTGCCAGCGAGAAGTTAGCGTTACCATCCGTATCAGTGGATCGATTGTTGTTCGAATCATCCAAAAGCTCCTCCGATATGACTCGAATGCAATCGTGATCTATTGCTAGCATTTGCAGAAGGTTCTCCATCAATTCAATCGATTTGCTTACTGCGCATGATTCCTTCAGCCCCTTCAGTACGATGTCCATCAAGCTATCCGCTCTGCTCGGTTGAGCAAAGTTCTGAATAAGCGTCATCAGTTGATTCCTTTCGACTTCCAATACCCGAACGCACTCCAACATAGCAGCCAGCATAATGATCGATGCATGCTGATTTCTCTCGTCTTCCGACGACAAACGCCAAGTATGCTTCGACAGTTCCCTGTAAATTGTCTCATAGTCCACCAGAGAATGTCCACGAGTTTTGTGAATACATTCCTCCAGCACCGTTACACCCTTGACAAACAGCTGAACGCTCTTGGATTGCATTAATCGAAAGGAAACCTGCTCAATCAATTCTACAACATTACGATCAATCAGATTCAGGTCCCGATCAAAATCCAACAAGTCCCACACGAAACCCCAAAAGCTGGATAGGCTTCCAAAATGATAGAACCAATCTTCGTCGAGAAGCGTTTTACGGTACTGTTTAAACAGGTGGGAAACCATTGCTTTTCGGGTCGAAAAATGCATTAGCTTACTCCAAATGAATCCTTCCCGCAAGGACTGCTGCTCAGTAGCCAATTCCTCGGATAAAAGGAAAGCCGTTGATTCGTAACAGCAGGACATGAATGATACCTGGAACTTTAAAACAGTAGAAACACATACAAATTAATAGCCAATTTCATCGTACAAAAGCGCAAAAACCTTACTTTCAGCACGTCCTCGTTATCGGTTTCTTGCAACAGCTGGAATGAATCATTTTCTAAGGCGGAACGTAGATTCCGAAGGTCCGCTTCGTAGGTTGGAAGTATCAGCTGCATGTCCAACTTGGACGGCCACACTGTTTCGCAGCTTTCGATCAACGGAAGCAGCTTCATGCGATTTAACAGTCGTTTAATCGGAGAAGGTGCTCTATTAATGTTAGTATCCATTTGGGTGGTTTCTGGCCCTTTGATGGAGCGATTGGATAGGACAACCTGCCACAACAGTCTACTCTAGATTCCGGCGCGGTTAAAAAATGTGATGTTGACTAGAAATACTCAGAGGGAGAGATGGGCGGAGATAATGTTTTGAGCCAAATGAACTGTCAAAATCTGAGCCAATCGAACATTCCAATTAGAATTTTTCCGAGGATTTCTTATTCTCACTAGAATAAATTTGAGAGTATTGCAATCGAACAGAAATTCAGTCACCTTTATGCTTTATGTTTTGTGTGCTTCTCAAATTCAACTACACACACAGAAAAAAAAGTTCTTGAATATCCCGCATAAGCGCGAACCATAAATTGACCTTACCTAAAATGGTTAAAATTGTTTATAATCCATGCTAAACTTCAACTGAAATGGTTATGGAACTTTACATGAACGTTTAATGTTAAATTTTTTAACCTTAAGTATTATAGTTTTTTGGAAGTGGACCTTACAAATAATGGGTTGTTAAGAACCATTACCATTCAAAATTCTTGTTTTCTCCATACATTTTCGGAAAGAAAACTATACTAAAACCTTTTAACTTATGGTTTGAGAACATTAATGGTAATGGTTATGGTAACCAGTAAGGTCCATGAATGGTTTTGTAACATCGATCAACTTTATGTGGAATATATCGCGAATTCACAGACAAACAGACATAACACTCGTAAGTTGTTCATCGAACAAGCATTTAACGAACAATTTAAAAGTATCGTAGTTGGTAGTACCGCCACCTGTGGCGCGCATAGTCAATTCCCTTGCGTTTGACGTTTACACACTACCGCCATCTGTTCAACGTAGTGCCCACCACTGTGTACTCAATAGATGGCGGTAATGTTTTAGTGACGATGTTTTACAGTGAGAAATATTCAATGTGTTATGTCTGTTTGTCTGTGGCGAATTGGTTGCCTGTAAATTACTGATTACCAATTCACGATATATTGCACGTAAAGTTGAGCGATAATACAAAACCATTAATGGACCTTACTGACTACCATAACCATAACCATTAATGTTATCAAACCATAAGTAAAAACTTTCTAATATAGTTCTCTTTCCGAAAATGTATGGAGAAAATAAGAATTTGGAATGGTAATGGTTCTTAACAAACCATTATTTGTAAGGTCCGCTTCCAAAAAACCATAATACATAAGGTTAAAACTTTATCACACAAACGTTCATGTAAAGTTCCATAACCATTTCAGTTGAAGTTTAGCAGGGATTATAAACAATTTATAACCATTATCGGTAAGGTCATGTGATGGTTCACGTTTATGCGGGATTACATCCAAACTGCTGCAACCAGGTCAATCCATCGGTTGTGTAATTGGTGAATCTACGCTACGGTCGTCCAGCAGATGGAAATGATGTTAAATGATAGTGACGTTTTACTACCTGTCAAATCGTATGGAATATTTTTTAGTACATCATCACTTTTGTGGTTTTGGATTTCAAACCTAGGTGTCGCATGCACTGGTGCAGTTTCGCGTAGATTCATCAATATAACGTTGTACGCACTTAGATTTTTTCGCCGAGATGGGCACCACCGAGCAGCTCGGCATTTTATTTTGCTGGATCTCAGTGAAAAACTTGCCAAGATTCAGCTAACAAACGGGAATTTTGCCAAGATCTCAGCTAACAAACATATTTTTTGCTGAATTTCCAGCAAAATAAAATGCCGAGCTGCTCGGTGGTGCCCATCTCGGCAAAAAAATCTTAGTGTGTACGATGTACATCGATTTTGCGAACAAAATTACATCCATTGATGTAATATTGTATCTGCTTTTTGCTATTACATCATTATTTCATACATCAGCTTGAATTACATTGATCGATATTACATTTTTTTTTGCTGTGCAGCAAAAAAAATGTAATATCGATTAATGTAATTCAAGCTGATGTGTGAAATAATGATGAAATAGCAAAAAGCAGATACAATATTACATCTATGGATGTTATTTTGTTCGCAAAATCGATGTACATCGTACAACGTTATATTACACAACCGATTGATTGACCTGGTTGCAGCAGTTTGGATGTAATATTCAACAACTTTTTTTTTCTGTGTAGCTTTTGGAACCGAAAACAATATTCTAACTCTATTGATTAATTGATCTTCGTTGGTTAATGCATGGCAACAAGAAATGTGCAAAATATTGCGATGCAATCAATTGACCACTTTGTCAAGCAGTTTTGGCGTGACTTTCTACCAGCGTTTTCACAAAACTGGAGCAACTAATTTCTATTTTTTTATGAAACGCACAAATGTTGGCTACATTTCTAGAGGTTCTAGAAGAAAAAATCTCAAAATATAATGTTTCATTTCAAAGTTCGAGTGGTAGTAAACGTCATTTTATCTGCTCGAATGAAGTGGTTAATTAGGAACAAATCCCTGCTGCCGAATTGTATTTTGTTTTCTCCGCCTATCTCTCCCTCTGAGTATTTCTAGTGTAACTACACAATAACTTTAGATTACTGGAGTCAGTAAAATTTTACTGGGTTTTTGAATTGCGGATCGCCCAGTAGTCATCACAGAAATAATTTGCATTACCGAACTGTCCGTAAAGTAAATCTGTCAAAAATAACTGTTCATTCAGTAATTGGTTCGAGTTGCGTATACTGGAATACCCAGTATTTTCTTTTTGTTTATTTTGCTGCAATTTAACTGAAAAGACAGTTATTTGGTTCATTATTATACCGTGTTACCCAGTTATATTAAAAGTAGTGAATTTGCAGTCATAAAAGCATGAATCCTGGTGCAATTCACCGTTTATAATATGCCAATTAATATGACGACTTAATCCCTTGACGTACCCCGGAATAGCGCGTCGACAGTGAAAGCAAACAATGCAAACATCCATTTTGTTAATCAAAATTTGTTGGAGATCAAGGAACTGCAAAAAGAGTAAATAATAATTGTTGGTACTAAGAGCAACCGTAACGGTCGTTGTTATTTGCGCGACTATTTTAACAGCGCACAGCGCTCTCATTTTAGTTTAGTCACTCTTCCCTACACCGGTCACTGCTATCGCGGTTATCAATTTACTCGCCGTAGTCCGTACCGGTAGTGAGCATTTTTACATTTCTACGAATAGCAACCTTTCTGCAGCGCTGCTATCGCGCTGCTATCGCGCTGCTAAATTTGGTAACGCGCTTCTCACCGAGAAGCCGACTGCTATTTTAGTTACTCGTATGGCAACCCCCGATACGGTAGCTGCGCTATGATGAGGGCTGCTAAAATGAGTTTAGCAGCGTACCGTTACGGTTGCTCTAACGAAATAGTACTTCAATTTCGCTGTCGAGCTTTCTCAGTTCCGTCATGATATAATTCAAATTTTAACAAAACCGCGCGATTAAACACTTGCTCCCGGATTTTACTGAAGCTAAAATGGCGGCGGGAATAAAATTGACTGGTTAGAGTTTTACAATTCGTGGTCGGTAAAACAAGGTGGCTATTTTGCTGACCAGTCGGTAAAAAAATAAAGACTAATTTGGGTACAGTAATTATTTTTGCTGACTTTTCGTGAAATCACGAAAATTTGGAAATTAACGACATTCTCAGTAAATAAATATTCTGTGTTCAGTATTTTGCATCAAACGATACCGAAGTTCAGTTTGTGTTTTGCAGAACGTCGGTTATTCACCTGATTTAAACTGAATGTTCAGTAAATCTTTCGTTTTACCGTGTAAGCCCAGTACAAAAAAAAACCGAACAACTAAATGCTGGATTAGTGTGTACGCTTAGGCCGTTCGCAATGCTGTTGTATTTTATAAGGACTGTTTCAATTTGAAACTAGAACAAAAACGCACCTCTCGCAATGCTGAGTTGCAGTTTCATTATTCGAGCACTTTTTTGCACCAGATTTGTAACAGCTCGACTATTGTGTTTTATTTCTGAGCGAGTTTGAAACACGAATGGAACTGTGTTTCAAATTTCGGTATGTATTTAAAGATGTTTCGAAGAACTTCAAAAAAAAAACTCTATGAACTTCATAGGGAACAGTAAAGTTTATGGAACTTGATTATTACAAACATGTTTTAGAACTGTGCGTTGCGCTGATCGTGTTGCAGTTTCATTTTTGACAGTTTCAAATTATAGAATTGTCGAGTCGTTTAAAACAATTTTGAAACTCAGCATTGCGAACGGCCTTAATACCGTTTAATCTACCATAATTTCAAATTTACTAATTCTGTCAAAACTATTATGCTTACTCAAACGGCAGTAGTTTTGATAGAAAAATAGTAAAATTAAATGAATTTCGTTTCTGCAAAAATCTTTTGATGGGAGTATTTAATTTAAACCAACAATATACATTGATAAAATTTGAAGGATTGTTTTTATGTGTCCCACACATGAATTTTTGCAATGTGATCAACAAATGATATTTATGTGTCGGACACACTCTTAAAGCCCAAAGGCAGTGTGGGCGGAAGCGGAACGGAAACGGAAAGTTTGACAGTTGTCACTAATGACATAAAGATGCCTAGCCGAAGTCGATTTGTTTTAACTAAGTAGCTTTCAATCTGACAAGTAGGCTTACTCAGATCGGGCTTTTCCGCTGCCGCTGCCGTTCCGCTTCCGCTGTCATTGCGCTTGGGCCTTTAATATGTGTACACATAAAAGCCATGTGCAACCACACCTACTATTAATTTGACTCATAAATTGCATGTGTGCTGCTGGGTGAATTCTGTTTATTTGTGGTCACATGAAAATCATGTGGAATTTCACATGGAAATTCGTCAATAAAAATGTGTGGAATTTTATTAGTGTAGTGTTTTCACCAATGGATTTTGTTTCTGTGTTGTTTGATTTCGGAGTTTTGTCATAGAGAACAGACGTTCAAGTTCGGTCAGAAACTTGTGTAAAATAAGTGGGAACGTCGCCGTTACGTGGTGTTAGCATCTCCTGATTTTCTCTACAAATTTTCCACTTTCGACCAATATGGCGCTAGTATCGATAAATTTTCTGTTGAAAATTGCCACTTGGCGCTACTAGCACTTAGTGTCTAGTGTAATTTGTGCAACGCCAGCGCCATCATGTTGTCAAAGAGGGTTTTTAAATGGGGAAGTCGCCGTTAGTGGCGCTTAAGTCGAATAGGAATCTTTACACAAGTTTTTAGAGAAATTTTGTTCGAGCCTCCATGTCTGTTCTCTGTGGTTTTGTTATCACAAGTTTTCCGTGTATGATTTTTTCCTATCATGTCTATTTAGCTTGATTCATTGCATGAATTTCCATGGAATGACTTTTGTTGTCAACAAAGACACGTCGTGTGTCAGAACCCGAAGCTTGACAGCTCCTCAGCGGCCAGCGCAAAGAAGGAAATTCGCACGATCAGCCAGGCCAGCAGCAGTCATTCCAAAGACACGAAGCCAGTTTATTCGTCATTCTCGCAAAAGCAGAAAAATCTTTGATAGAAAATATAGTGGTGTTTTATCGAATATTAATAACCAGTCAGTAAATGACGTTTGTGATTTCGAAACGTTGATGATTTATCAACTACATTGATTGAGGAAATCCGTGCCGAAAAGGTTCTTCAATGTGGTGCACCTGTCTCGTCCGATTAGGCAGGCGGTCGCAGTGTTGAAAACGAGTTCCGTGGAGTGTGTGGGGCAAGGTGTCGAATCCGATGGGTCAAGGAGATACAGTGCTGTTTTTGCGTATGCAGGAATTAGGCAGTTTTTTTTCTGTGTAGGGAATCCACACTCTTTGTGCGTTTTTACAAAGATTTAGTGGGATTTTCATGAGCTTGGAGATGATCCAATGTTGCCACATTAATCGAACTCAATAGTGATTTTTACGAAAGAACAACACATAAACTAGGTCATCCAAATCATTGGCTGTTAATTGCACAACCAATAGTGGAGTAGCTCGGTGGAATAGTGTAATAACACCATCAACAAATTATTGATCCATCTGAAGGACTTTCGAGAACGCGAAGCCAGTGAACGAAGAGAAGCCTGGTGGTAGATAATCTACCCCGCAAGAACACATAATAATCGATGACATGTAGTACTCGTAGTAATAACAGCCGCAACCCTTCCGACTGATCGATTCGATGGCACAACTGCAGCAGCTAGTAATAACAAGATTACATAATTTTTTGTTGATGTTTTTCCTTGGCTGGCACTGGCTCTGAGCGGACCCGTGTTCGTGTGGTGAACAAGTGTTTTGGCGAGGAGCAAATAAGAATCATCTCAGCACGGCTACAGAACGCAACGAAACGCAACAATGGCCCGCAGTGGAGGTACCAAATGTCCTCATCTGGATAATGTCGTCCATCTCTCGTTGGTGGAGCTGTGCAAACTAAAAAAGGTAACTGAGTCATACAGTTTTATTTTTGTTTCCCGTTCTGACGATTGATGCTGGCTTTTGCTTTATCCATATATCAGTGAAGAATAAGGTAGTACTGCTAGTCAATATTAATGCTTTGCATCTGCTGTTCTTGTTGTACAGCATGATCAGGCAATTCTTTGTTTGCGTCGCGATTTATCGTCTATACGTTTGTCCAGTTGTGCTTAAAAAACATTTAAATCCCTTAAATATCTCTTCTTTCTTTCGTCTCGTGCGTTTACTCTGAGTTGGTACATGACGTAGTTTTTTTAACATTACACCTTTTGTTAGTTGGTAATTATACCCGAAGCAAATGAAGAAACATTTTATAAACATTATCTTTGATTTTTGCACTGTGAGAACTTTAATGATTTAATTCAATTGCTTGCTTAATGAGTGAAAATAGATTAGAACGATTAGTACGGCTCTCAGAGTAAGAGTAATTATGAGCAATTAAGAACCTGCTTGGAAACATTGAAAGTAAAATATACAGCCATCATAATACTGGTTTGCATAGCCGTATAAGCAGAAATTTCCCAATCATTTACCTAGATTTTTGTGTCAGTAAAGAGTAAATTTTCCTCACTTGTGCTTTTTGCATGTGTTCAAGCCTTGCTCAGTTTGGACAGGAGAAACAAAATCATTCCGTCTGAGTTACAGTGTAGATTTGAAGCTAGTGAAGCTATTTACGAAGTCGATATAATTTTCATTCCGAAAATTTCCTAGATCGGACCATGAATTGAACAACAAAGTCTCTTTGTTTTCCTCTGTCCGGGACATAAAGAGATGAACTAGCCTCAGGCTAAAAATCTCTAAAATAAAGACAAAAAAAAAAAAAAAAAAATGTCCGGGACATAATCCACTGCGACAAGTTATTTGATCTATTGTGGAATACCCCGTGTCGTTAGTTTAGAGCATGTCGTATAACGCCAACACTATTGAGAAATGATGAAGTATTCAGTTTTGATACAGTTGTCATTCTTACCTTTTTCGCAAGGATTCGACTCTAATTGAAAGGTCCCGCTCTTTATACCCTTCGGAGTGTTGGAACACCCTAAAAAGGTGCCCATATTTGTCAGTGAAAAACGGATTCCTTCTCAACAAACTCAAACATAACACTGATAATGACCATGCATCAGAATCCTAGTCATAACCACTTCAAACTAGAAAACAGCGATTAGGAACCACATAAGGTAAATGGATGTAATGTCGGCCTAAATGCCCTTAATTTGGGCCCATACATAAATTCAGCAATCGATTAAATTTTCAATAGCGACCAAAAACATCCATTAGTACCGTCCCAATACCGTCTAGATACAATTGATAAATAACAGATTTTTAGCGATAGGCTCAATCTTAGATGCATAGGCCAACATTAGAGTCATTTCCCCTAACTATTTTTTTCCTTGTTTCAAGATCATCCTCAGTGGACAAAGGCGAGTATTCCCAAGTAACATTTTAAGTTTTATGAAATACTACAAAGCAACTATAAAACAACATTCATAAAACCCTGGTCAAGGTTATTTTGTCATTAATGCATCCACCAAAACCTCATTAAGACTAGAATATGTCTAGTTGGCCCACCCTGAAGAAAGTTCTGAAGGGTGTATTCTCGAAGCTCTTCAAGATTGATTTACTGCAAAAGGTTGTATGACGAACGCATTGAGAACCATTTGAAAACTACAACAAAAGCTATTTAGCAACAATAAAAACCCTTTCCGAGCCATTTCCCCTAGTCGCTTGCTAAATCCACTAGGAAAGCATCAATCAAGATAGAAAAGGATTTATTAATCCGATCTTATCAAAATAATTAAAATAGAAACTGATAGTATAAAAATCGTGTTGAATATCCAAATCTATTACAATAGTTCTCATTATGTGGCCTAGTTTTAAGTGCCTTATTAAATGTTATGTGAAATGTACGTGAAAACATCGAAAAAAATAGGTCCGCTCTCGTAAAACGTCGATTTGACTAATTATTTTACATTGAATAAAATAAATTATTTTTCAGATTGAGCTAGGCTGAGATTATTTTTTATGATTTTCGCATTTATGTTTGCTCATTGCTAAATTTACTAAAATATAGTTATATCCAAGGAAATATAGATAGAAAATCGAAGATTGTAAAAAAACAAGCAAACTAATTGTAACATGGCGGTGGCATAAAAGTTGATTTTCATGGGACATTTGTGAAAAAGTTGTTTTGCTTTTAAGAAATCCTCAACAAAATCCTTAGGTTTTAACATGGGTTTTATGAAGAAAACTTGCAGGCTGAATTGTATTTATCTAAAGCCATTTTGCTTGATCTTAATTCGTTCAGATTTATGGCAGCATTTATGGAGGCAAAGTTGCCTGCAAAAGTTAAACGTCAAAGTTTGTTTATCTTTCGATAGTTGTGCTGTGAGATTCAGCGTTCTTCCAGGCGATTATCTCCCGATGGCTTGGAAGCAGTTACTAAGAAAGTTTTCACAACATTTCGCATTTGGCACAGCTGTAACCTCGATAATTCCCGAAAAGATCCCCTTCTTCTTGATGGTTCTGGAAGTGCACCATCAAACGATGCAGGAATGTATAGTTGAATTAATTTTTTCCAAGTGATGACCCTTTCGCCGAATAAAATCGCAGCTATGGATCGGAATCCAACTAGTGTCCGCTAACTGACAGAATGCAATGTTTGCTGTCGGTACTGACAAAAGTTATTTCGATCTTCATCTATTCGCAAGGTCTGGAGAAGGCTGATCTGTTCTCAGGCTGTTTTGACAATGTTTTCTGAATTTGAGGACCACGCTCACTTCTCTCTTTCCACCAGATGCTCAGTCGTTGATGGTACCCGTTCCGCCGGACGTGCTGGTTCTTCTAAAGAACTACATTTTACTGAAATCGACCTCCCTTCGGTCGTTAGCATCTTCCAACTTCGATTATCTTTCGAGATATCCTTGTCATAAATTTGGTTTTTATTCACTGTGAGGATCCATCCTTAAAATTCAATTTGTAAACAGAGAAGATTTTATGATAAACTTTTAAAAACCTAAAAAACAACAATATATGCCATTTGCTCTCATTTAAAACTTAATGGTTTTATGATTGCTTTTATAATGATATAACAGGTTTATAGAGTATTTTATCAAGACAGCAATAAAAAAAAAATTGCTAATGAAGTTTATGATTGATTTATAGAACAGTTTTATGGTGGGATTGAGAACTACTTTGAATTCAATTTTAAAACAAGACAGTTTTTGACTTCTCGCCAGACTGTAAAAGGTTTTTAAAACAGCGAAAACGGAACTACTAAAGGGTGTCCACGATGAAATTGCCACACACAAAATTGATTCGCAAAATTCGAGTTTTGATCCGATTGCCATCAAATTTTCAGGGATTGAGAAATAACTATTAAACTTCATTTTACCATTTTACTCGTATTTTATTTACAGTCCATACGCAAATGCCCGCACCTTGGCCTTAACCCCGGCCATAAGATTCTGCACAACCTGTGAATCAACCGTTTTTTGCATGTAAACCCATACTTTCTTCAGTTCCTCGACTGTCTTCACTACCTTAGGTCGTTTAAGAAGGTGCTGCTTCATAATCGCCCAGTACTTCTCGATGGGGCGGAGCTCCGGAGTGTTGTACTGGGCGAAATTGACCTTATTGTCCGCATACCACTTCAGCACGTCCTTGGAGTAGTGGCATGAGGCCAAATCCGGCCAGAAGATTGTTGGGACGTTGTGGGCCTTCAGGAGAGGAAGCAGCCGCTTCTGGAGGCACTCTTTTATGTACACCTGTCCGTTCATCGTGTCCTGGGTCACGAAAGGTGCACTCCGCTTCCCACACGTGCAGATGCCTTGCCAAACCAGGAATTTCTTCGCAAATTTGGACATCTTCTGAGTGCGGACATGCTCCGGAACGCTGAACTTATCCTTGGCCGTGAAAAACAGGTTGCCGGGGATCTGTTTGAAGTCGGCCTTCACATATGTTTCGTCGTCAATGATGCAGCATTCAACTTTCGTCAGCATGTTGAGGTACAACTTCCTGGCACGGGTTTTGGCGGACTTGTTCTGCTTCTCGTCGCGATTAGGGGCCTTTTGTACCTTGAACGTTCGAAGCCCAGCCTTAGTTTTGGCCTTCTGGACAAAACTTCGGCTTAGGTGCAGCTTCTTAGCCACATCCCTAACGGAGGCGTTCGGATTTCGGTTGAAGGCCCCAACTACGCGGTTGTGATTTTTGGTGTTGTACGGAATACTTTTTCCTTCACTTCTGGGCTTCCGATCGGTGGTCAACCGTTCCTCGAACCGCTTAATCACTCGCGACACCGTGGAATTCGCGATTCCCAACGTTTTAGCGATGGAACGATGCGAGAGATCCTTGTTCTCGTGATGAATGCGCAAGATTTTATCACGCACGAGCTGTTCTTTCGACTCCATTTCCGCGAGTTTTGATCACAGGACTTTAAAACTTGCAGGATGTAAATAATGCACTATGAACTAAATCCACCCAAATTTTCATTAAATTCTACCCAACGGTTAAAAAGTTAGAGCAATTTCATAGTGTGGCAATTTCATCGTGGACACCCTTTAAGCCAGGAACGTGTTACACTGTGAAAAGCTGTATTTAAACTAAATTGATTATTCATTGCCATTATAAAACCATCATAAATCAGAGTGAATGCCAAATGATTGCAGAATTGTAACTTGGGTTGTCACTATCAACAAGGCATAAAAAGTAAAAAGGACTATGATGAGTTTCTTGATTGCAAAACAATCCTATTACCCTAGTTTGAAGTAGTTCAGGCTTCGGTGATAGATGTTAATGGCAGTAACGCACCACAAAAAGGTAATCTACCAGGCGTTACTGGCCTCAACATAGTCTTGCTGCGTAGATGATACTTAACGGACTGAGCAAAGGGCAGCCCTGACCGGATCGCTCAATGTGATGTGGATGGGAAATAATGTCCAAAATTAGAAGCTAATTGGTCAAAATGTCCA